CTGCGTTCTCGCAGGCTCCATTACAATCACTACCGGCACCGTCGGCTTCTTAACAACTCTGAGGGACACTCCTACCTCTAGCTCTTCGACCATCTTCTCACCAGCTTGCTTCGGCATCAGCTCAAACACTTCGATGGGCGGTAGCAGAACTATGCCTGGATGTCCGAAGTTGTGATACGCAATACCAAGAGCCGTGAAGAAGTGCAAACCACCCGCCGATGCCTTGTATCGGGATGGAAATCTCTTCTTATATTCAGCGTAAGTGAGATGGCCGGTCTGGCCTTTCCACCTGTCGATTCGGAACATATCCTTCCAGATATCGTCCACGAACAATGTGAGTACTCATACCCACGCGGTGTAGAACCGGTGCTTTTCATCGCACCACTACATGAGAATGCCTTGTTTGGAATCTCACGGTTGGCATTGCTAGAACAGTTCATATTTCCCATATATACATACGTTGAGTCTTGCCCTCACCCGGGAGGTCATTGTTTGGCGCCTTTGTGATAGATTGAAACAGTGACGGTATAGGCAGACGTAGCTGAGGCTTATTTTCTCAATCATTGATCCTCCATTCCAATGTCATCGTCGCTAGAGGCGCTGAACCCGTACGGATGTAGACATTACGCGACTGGGAGACATGTTATCAACGTAGTCAGCCGACGAGTCGATTTCAATCCTAGCTGCGCTACCATTCTACATGGTAGGCTAATAATTCACTGTTGCCTCGTGTTCATCATTCCTTGTCTTCACCAATGTTGTTGCATGCGCTTCGTCAATAGCGACAGCAGCTGTGTCTTCACATGAAGGTATCCTCTGCCCGCATGCTGTTGAAATTGAAGATGGTATCAGCACCTGTCCGATGCTCTCAGGGACCCGTTTGCCGAAGGTGTCCTGAATATCCAGTGACCAGCTGTCCTCACTTGGCCAACCCACTAGCTTTAACGGGAAATCACAAGCATGGCGACGTCGTCACCTAGTTTAGTTTTATGCAGCTCCTCTAGCTCCTACATTTGCGCAAATCCATTTCGTATCCCCTCCAGCGGCACCGAGGGTGGGGCGCATGCGACCCGCCGGGCCGAGGACATAGGGGGCAGTGACATCGGAAATGACGCTAATGCGAAAAACAAATACGATGATTAGAGTGTTGGGTGTGTGGGGTGGATCAGTTACCGAATCCTTGACTATATGGCTTTGTTTTGTGTCCAAGGATTATCATTTGTTGTGTTTTGAGTGATTCCCTCTACATCGTATATGAGCTTGAAAGATTCCTGATTGGGCATAACACATATGGATTTTTTCCGAGTGCTTGCGCTATTGCTTCCCTCAATAGTTTTACGCGTATCCTAAATAACAAACTACGAACTGAAGCTGGCATTTATGTGAAAACAAATCTCGCAGTAAAG